ATCTGTATATCATTATAAAGTGTATATGTATAATTAAATCTAATTGAATTAATAAATTACAACAGCTTAGGAGTGTAAATGAAATAAGTTCATTGAATTAAGTAACACTTTTATAATTATAACATATGAAACATAATCAGTAAGTAATTATTCAGCAAATCATGGAATCGATTTGGATTTTACTTAACTCATGGATTTTCTACGTTAAGTAAAATTACGCTAAAAGAGGTTCTAGACTACAGAAAAAAAGGAGAACTTTTTTAATGTGTTACTTAGGAGAACAAACGTAAATTGAGGAAAATATATATTCATTAAGGAAACAGTAAGTATGGCGGACATTGGCTGTATGACATGTCTGACACCCAAGCAAAGAAAGAAACTACGTCAGAAATAATGTTTTAGAAAAAATGGTTACAGGAATGTTCTCTTTCTGTATAACATTTTATAAATAATATTCTGATTGAGTCCTTTTGTGTCTAGGCAAAAATTTTGTAAATCTGTATGATAACTTAAGTTGGTTACAATAGAATCAAAAAGAACTTTTTAAAAAATATCTTTTTTAAATGGTGTTTAAAATTGAAATAATACAAACTATTATTAGTAGCATACCTTCAACGATTGCGAACATTCATAACGGTAATTTATGAAACTTTGTTTTCCAACAAAATCACATGTAAATAAAAAGTCGTATTTTTGATTCTAAACAAAGAATTGTTGTGTGAAGACTTTGAAGTTGCAATCAATAATAATTTTACTTAAAGTGATATCAAAAGCCTATGTGCAACTCAGAACACTTATCGAATTAAATTTTAATGACAGTTTAAGTGTAAGACAACACTTGTAAATAACACTTGTGACGAAAGCTTGTCCGCGTTTAATAAATAAGTGCATACTTTAAGTAAGAATTTTAAGTAACAATGGATTTTCAAAATATTATGACAACCATTGTTCAATTTTGCTGTTCTTTTAGAAATTTTTGAATAATCTTCTTCTTCTGCCCTCCGTAAATTTAAAACCTTAACCAACTTTATTTATATACCGCTACACCGGGCATATTGAAGTTATCACATATTATCACCATTCTTTAAAATTTTTTATATATTCAAAATTTTAAATCATTTATCATATCTCCTTGCTTACCCAAAAAAACAATTGTAATTTTAACTTTTGTAATAATATGGCAAAAATAAACCACTCTTGTGTAAGAATAATTTTGCATTCATTGAAACTTATTATAAGCGGGAGATCCAAAAAAAAAATTCAGAAATATTTTCTATATTTATATAGTTAAAATTAATCATTTAACTTACAACATCACATCCCGCACATCACAGTATAGTAAACAATATGCTTAGCACATATTATAAAATATACTAGTGCTTACAGAATATTATTTAAATTTCATCCATTTGGAAAGGGTCTCTTATCAAAGATTCATAAGCATCTGAAATTTTATAAAACAAAAAAATTACTAGACTTGTAATATTCCTGCTTGAGTTGTTCTCTTTCAGACCTATTCAAAATAATCTAATATATTAAATATATACTTTTTATAAAAATTTCAAGTGAAAAGATTATAAGTATAATATACACATATTTAGATATGTACTACAAATATATATATATATATATATATATATATATATATATATATATATAGGGGATTTATGAGGAAAAAAACAACAATACCTAATAACTGCCGTCACGGTGAGATAACTTCTTCCGTCATAGATCGTGAAATATGTTACTGAACTACAACAAGTTGTTACTTACTTGCTTATAATATTTTATATTGAAAAATAAAAAAACACCTGATGAAAAACTCAAGTGAGACATTGAACTTTACTTCGCACATCAAAAAAAAAAAAAAACGACAATAATGATAACAATAAAGTCAGCATACAATTTAGTGTCAAATTATGATTTCATTTTTTAATATACCGTTCTTTTATATTATTATTATTCTTTTTGTTTTTCTCTGTGTATTATTTGACATTCAAAATTTCATTTACAATAAACAAAATTTTGTTATACGTGAACAAATTCATTAATTTACATTGAAATTTTAACATACATGTAAGTACCCATGAGTTCAACTTTTAAATTCAGGAACTCAGCTTCCTTTGTAAATATAAAATTATAAAAAAAAATCTATTCATAATATTTCATAGAATCAACAATGTACGAAAAAAAACCCTCAAAAACTAAAAATTTATACAAAGAGAAAAAAAAAGTAATTATTGCAAAATAATTTTATTTTGTTAAACATTAAAATTATTTAGCCAACAAAAGCTTGCAGTTTGAGTTTATTCAAAAAAATATTAAGCAAACGAGATAAGATTATGATCATAGTATTTTGTAATTATTTGGAAGATTAGGCCCATATTTATTACAGATATGTGAAGTGGTAGTAAAAATATAAAGAATTTCTTAGCAATTTTCGGTATAATTATGCTAAATTTGCATAATATTAATAATAAAAATTAAATAAATTGCTTGCAACAACAAAAACTATGTGCGATTAAGTATAATATATAGAAAATTTTATGTAAATGTAATATGGTGAACTCACAATAAATAAACGTAGCGTAACATCAATCAAAAAAAAATTTTCGAGCGCAAGCATTATTTTGGTGGCAAATTCCTAACTTGCGAAACATCTCAAACCCATTTTAAAATTTTTAAAATCTTCTAATTAACAAGATAGAATCCGTTGCCTATCATAAATCAATTTTGATTCACTTAAAATCTTGAAATTTAAATAATATCCAATTGATCTTTATTTGCTTCTTTCAAATTCGATTTAATCTATACCCACATAATATAATTTTCGGCTACTAATTTCTTAGAAATATTTTGTATCCCGTTTATTATTATTAAAATCTCTAAATTTTTAATATTATCCTAAAAGTATGCAATAATTCCCATATAATATCATTTTGATATATTAATAAGAACAATATTATTTAAACAAAAGATTATTGTTTTTTAAAAAAAATTATTTTTATTTTTGAAAGGAATTGTGCTAATTTACAAACCATTGATTTGATCCAAATTTATTAAGCTATATAAGTATCACTATATCATTATCGTATTGAGTTTCTCACAATAAGTCCTAATATGTCAATTTCACCGATATTATTAATGGAATAACAAATCTTTAACAATAATTTGGAAAAGGAACGCACGAATTTTCTAAACTGTGAATTCTAACATAACAGACTCCCATTTATTATTACATGAAACCCTATTACAAAAACTTAAAATTTGCACTCAACATTATTCCTGAGTCAGCCCAAAAAAAAACGAATCTGTTATACATAATATTAAAATTTAAATACAGGTAACAAAAAACACAAATTAAATAAATATAATGTTGAAGTTGACATTTTAACTAGTTCAAAATATTAAAATACAAAAAACTAAGCAAAAATCTAATTAAAATGAAATTTATGATATTAAAGTGTAATTTAATAGATCACCTTCATTATTTTTGTCATTTTGTTTCCAAAAAAAAACAAAAACAATATTTTCATTTTTTGTGAAATGGAAATTGAATAAGAGAATTTGAGGAAATTTCAATGCTTAAGTTTTTTTAATATAAATATTTTTTTTTTGCTTGTGAAATTCCAAAGTTTCGGATTCCCTTTAAAATACCAATTTTTTCATTTAATTAAATCGCAAACATATGCAAATTTTGATTAAAATGACAAAGTATTCGCTTTATTTTTACTTTTTTAAAGAAAAATTTAATTATAGACGAGTTACTCAACAGAACTTTTAAACTGATAAGCAGAAAATTATGTTATAATTTGGTTAAACCTTTCAATTATAGATTTTTAATTTCTAATTAAGTCAAAAATTCTTAATTTATTCATCAGCATTCTCAATATCATATTTTTTAAAATCGTACATGTTGGGAGTTTCACCTTTTCGCAATATTGGAGAAGTGTACATTTTGAGCGCTTGCTAGTTCAAAAATTCTGTGGGTAATATAAGGTTCATCACAAAACGGAAAATAATAACAACTTTTATAATATTTCATACTTAGGATTATTTAGATTTATGTTGGAGCTTCCTTTACTCATTTTACACGTTCATAGTAGGAAGGTTTCAATATAACGATGTTAAAATCAGAGATCTTTAAATTTCTAGAAAATCTATTAATTTTAAATTTAGAAACAGGTAGAAAAAGAAATGGGAAATTTTTAATGGGAGTATTTATTTCTTTGGAGTCTTGTTGCAATTGTGAACACAAAAATTTAAAATTTTTAAATTTTTTGTCAATATCAGCTAAAATTAAATGTAATTTTAAATATTTGACATAATAATTTAGACAATTTTGACAAGTGAAGTTACTCATTTGACTCTTTTGAATAAATATATACGTAAAATATGTATACTCTTTTATAACTCGCATGTGAAACCTAATTGTATTTGAAAAAAATAAAAATTTTGCAGGAATAGTAAAACCCTGAATAAATAGATAAAATGATATGTCACGGATTGATCAACTTTTAGGATCATCTTCGTCAGGCCTCCGAAACAACTGAACATTTTCCCGGGTCGATTTTAGATTTTTGCTCATATAAATTAATATTTAAATTCGGGTATTAAGGCAATGAACCTATTAAATTTTTGAAAAAATGAGTGCTTCGAAATCAAACTAGGATTAATTAAGGGAATCTAATTTAGCATTAATTAGTGGAATGATTAGCACTAATTAATAGAATTTCTTGAACATTAACATTTGAGTCCAGGCAATTACCACTGACAGTGGGACCTTTATAACTCGAAGTCGGGCGGCAACACTAAAGCAGTTCAAGTTATGGAGATTTCGAATTGAGGAGAAAAAAAAAGTTATGACAATGTTCAAGAGAACTCATATTGCTTCGAGGTAAGAAGATTTTTAAGTTGAAGAAGTTCGAGGGCGGCTTGACTTTATTTATATTTCTATAAAAAATTTTCGAAATTTGAATATTCTTGGCTTACTTACTTACTTTTTTGCTTTTCAATTAATTTAATATTCCATTTCCGCTTTAGTCATATTGACAGAGAAATTATTGTTGTCACTTTTTTTTGATTTTAAATAATAATTGTACAATAATTTTTTATTTTTAATCACCACACTCAAAAAAAAAAAATTTGTAAATAATTAAAAGAACACTCAAATTCTAAAGTGTGTACCAATATCCTTAAATTTCAAATTCTTATATTAAAAATGTTAAAATTTTTTTAAATATTTTTACAATTTTATAATTTTTATTTATTTTAACAGTTAAAGATCACTTTTGCTATATTGTACACAAAAAACTGTTACAAATTATTTGTTTTTTTTTATTAAAAATATTCTTCAGAACCTCTTCAGTACAAGTTCTTTAATAAAATAAATTCACTTTTTTAGTCCATGTTTTCATAATATATTTTTCTAGATATAGCGCTTGTATAATTGCACACCCTTAACAGTAATGTTCTTTAGAGAAATTCACATTTTATTTGGGAAGAACGAAAAAAAATTTACTGAACCGTAACACCGGTAAAGAATATCCATTAGGTAACATCCAAAAGGTCAGAAAATTTTCTTAAGTTTATGTGGTAAAAATACCACATTTAATTAAAAACTGTATCATTTACATATTCGAAAGTAACAAAACATACAACAAAAACGAAAACAAAATTGGAGCGTCACTGATGCGTAAAGTCATCGTCGTCTTGTTGTTTTTTTTTATTTTGGAATAAGTGTTACACTAAGATTATTAATTTAAGAATTTTACATTTTGCATATATAAAAATAAAATTCCAGGTGAACTATGCAGGTGAGAATATCTTCTTTAAAAAACACTTCTTCTATATTGTTTTTATTATAAAAATTTTCTATTATCCTTTTTTTATTATTTAATTTTTTAACCGCGAAAAAAATCCTTCAAAATTCACACATTTATAATTTTGTTTTTTCTTACAGCTGCTTATTAAACCTACTCTGTGAATGTTTCAATTAAAACTAAAACTTTAAAAATTATTACTTAGTGATAGAAGTCACCGTTAACTGGTAATTTCTGTAAAGGTAAACGAAAATAAACAAAAAATGCAAATGAAAAACAATGTAAAAAAAATAAAAATAAAAACAAAATTCACTGAATGAACGATATGTGGCTATGATTGTTGCTGACTTCATGAAATAAATACATACATACATTCGTACATATAAGATAATGTTTTGCCACTGTTTTCTTGTGTGCTATGGATACTTGAAATTATATTATTGTTTGAATTTCATATTCGTTGTCTATGGTTGAACGTTTATGCTTTATACTTTGTGTAAAAATATTGTTATAGTAAAAAAATTTTCCTAAATTTCAATTGTATAAGTGTAAGAAAAAAAGAATTATTAAAGAAAAATTATGTGCTCGTACTTCAATTTAAAGATTCAAATGCAAATACAATATAGATAGTATTTGTATAGATATATGTAGTAAACAATATTATACTATGGGAAATCATCGATCCGTAGCCATTTAATATAATAAAGTATTAAAATTAGCAGCTTTTAAAATTGCATACACATTATGTACAAGTCCCATATTATAATTGTTTGTCGTAATATATTAAGGTTTAACATTACACCAAACTAGTCCTGTTTAAGAGTTATAGGCTTCTACATACGCAATCACTTTCTATCAACAAGAGATTCATATTCCTATGCGACAGTTCCAAATTGAAACTGAATTATTTATTTTAAAAATTCCAAATATTTTAAATGATTGTTTCATTTACAGACGAGGCAAGACAAATTTTTATTAACGTCCTTGTATTCACATTTCGAAAGTCGATTTTCATCCGATATTATAATTGATTGTTATGTACTGGTACTTGTTGTTCACACCGTATCATGATTATTTTTTTCTTTTTAAAAATAATTGCGCTTAATCAGAATCCACTTGCTATAAAAGTAAGAAATAAAACAAAATTTTCTCGAAGATGCTCGAATTGATATGACTTAGACTAGTACGTATGTTTAGTTATTTTATTGTACACACATTATATGTATATGCATTATTCTTCATTCAAAAAATTTTTAATTCAATAAAAGTTACAATACTAATTCACAAATTTTATAGTTCATATATAAATTACTATAAGATCATATTGCAGTACAATTCATATTACAATTTTTATATATGAAAATTCTTAATCCTGACCTTTATATTATCTCTGATGAAAACTGATATGATACGATATTCAAAAATCTAGATTATGTTATTTAATTCTTGTCTTTTATTGTGTAAGTAAGTAGTGTTTACCTTTAATAATTTTAGATGTTACTCTAATTTTTTGTTTCATATTTAATTATATAATTATATATCTATACATATATCATTTGCATAATATGCAAATCTCATAATCTCATTTTATATATTGCAATATATAATATTGTAGTATTACAAAGGTATACATAATACATATAATAATAAAACACATCATATGGGTTTATTTAGCAACAATTTCAAGTTAGTAATCTTAAACAAAATATGCTTATAAATTATTTGCTCTATTAATTTGATAATTTTTGAAATTCAATGAGAATAAATTCCTCTTCTTTCACATCTGATAACTAAAATTTTGAAATATTTTGATAATTAATTATAATTTAATAAATATTTTGAGTTTATCGGTAATAATCATAGAAAATGGTATATAAATGATTTTAAGATAATAAGCTATAATTATAGCTTTTAAGATATGTGAAGCATTTGCAGTAATTAAAATTTTCATAGCAATATTTTGTTTAAGAAGTTTTAAAAAATTATTTGCTCTCTATAAGAAATATCCTTTAATTTTAACATTAAGAAATTTCAAATGAAATTCATATAATAAAATTGAATTATTCATAAAATTGAATAATGTTGAATTTTAAATCATAAATTAAGAATTCATCTACTTACATAATAATCTCGCCTTTTGATGAATTGAAAAAAACTAATTCATTTCTATAAATTAAAGGTTTTCAATTAGGCTTAAGTAAGTCAATACTAAATTATGAGTAGAATTTAAAAACACTAAGAAAAAACTAGAAAAATAAAAATTTTATTCTTAGTAGACATTCCTTTTCAGTTAATCTCTATGGAACTCATTTCAAGCAGTAATTTTTATTTTATCCCTAGAGACGTTTCAGTTATCTGGTATTAAAAGCATAAGTCCAAACACTCGCGAACGCTTTACATAATATGATAAATGTAAAAAAATCATTTGTTGATACAAAAAATCTAAAAAATTTTATTTTCTGATAGAACAAAAATTTCATTTCTGCTTTCAATTTATATTAGATTAAACATTTGTATAAAATTAAATTATCCTTACATTAAGATTAAGATCAATAATTGGGCCATTAATGTTATTATTCTTAATTATTATTATAATTATTATTATTACTTTTATTTTGAATTTCAGCTTTTTAAGCTACAGTTTACTTGTTTAGTTCCACCCCTTGAAATGTAATCACTGTAACAATGTTCATTAACCTTATATGCACTACAAAATTTTTTCCTGAATTTGATTGAGAAATTTTCTAATATTCAATAACCTGCAGTGCGAGCCGTACCTATTTAATTCATTAAATTAAATTTATTTTAAATTCAAGCGGTTCGTTTGCATCTCCTCAATAAGTCAATGTAATTCTAAATTGAACGAATATATTCATTGAACTATGAACAAGTAAGTTTATCTACATTAAGATTGAAATATGAGTAAACAGCACAGTTCGAAAACAAAAAAAAAATAAAACGTGTCAAAAGTATTGTTTGCGAGATTTATGAACTTCTAACAATTTTGTTTCTAAAAACATTTTTTTTAAATATTTTTAATATTGTTGAAATCAATTTTATGTTTTAATAAACTTAGTTTACAGCTTACTTATCAAACACAAAACATTTTTTCATTTATAAATTTCTCTAAAATGTACAAAATTTTTGATATAATTAAATTCAATTTTTTTTTGCATTGTATACTAATATAGAAATTAATATTTTTAATTACGATTAAAACAGAAGAAAATATGTAAAAAGAAAAACGCCCGTTCCACTAAATTAGTTTCAGTTTACTTGATCTTATAGTTCACAAACCATTTCATGCAAATTTTTACTCAGTTTTCACTATTTTTATACACTCTTCAAGAATCGGTAATTATTTAAAAAAACAAATGAAGTAAGTAAAAGTTTTTCACTTAAAAAATTGAAAGCAATGTTAATAATCTCGTTTTTAGTTTACCAGGCTCGAACAATTTGCCGAAATTGCATAAAAAACATTTTGAATTAATCTGTAACATAACGTTATTATAATACAAATATGATGAATTTTTAGACTTAATGGTATTCCGAGTTAAATTTTCGGTATAATTGCTTCTTAATTATCGACTTAATATCAATGTGAACATGTACGACAAAATCTAAGATCAAATCTATAATAGAGTCTGGTGACTGTTTACATATCAGACCGAAATTATTTGATGGAGCTTATAACTTAAGTCAAACTTTGACAATTTGCTATGAAAATTATACCTATAATAAAAATCAGTTGATCGCTGCTCAAAACTTTGACAAAAAATTAATTGTAAAGGAATAGAGTAATTTCTATTAATTGCCGTTGCCAGTCAGACAAACAGATCTTATATCAAACAGAGTTAACATATATACGACTTTCATCAGACTCATCATATTAAATCATAGAAAAGACAAGTTTTAGCAATTTTTAAGAAGAATTGAGTGTATTTTACTTCTTGTATTTTTGCTTTTTAGTTTTTTTTTATTTTAAAATTTGACATTTGAGAAAACGAAGAAAAAAAGGCAAAATTATTCCGACATTTGGAGAGTAAAGTAAGCACTTCTACAAAATTTTAAAAATTTTCATGAAAGTCGACATTACTTTTCTCTGTCTGCAAGTCAAAATTTGCAGAATTCGAAAAATATCAACAAAAGCAGCAGTTACAGCAATAAACGTCAATAAATTTCATTAATGTCAACAATAATAAACGTAACTAAATTTTAAATCTTTCTCTAATAAAGCAATTTTCATTAATTTTTATTTACATAGTTTTCTTTTCCTATTTTTTGATCTTCTTGTTAAAAAAAGTTTAAATTTTTGCCAGCCATAAAATATTTCATTATTTTTGTTTGACAAACGTTTAGATCTTTTAGAGTTTTATTTTAAAAATACTCCAGTAAAGCAATCTTATTGTTGGCATTTTAAATTTAATAAAAATATGTGTATAGTATGCATTTGTTCTACATGGCATAGATCACTTTCTTTTACAAATTTACTTACAATATTTTATGTTCATCATCATCATTATAATTTTTTATTTACATACTTATACAAATTGTAATTTTTGTTTTTTAACTTGTTCTTTAATAAAGTATTGAAAAACTTAGACAATCTTAAATTGATAATGATCTGGTCTATTAATTTTAATTTCCCTGGTATACAAAATTACAATTTAAATCTGAATATTATAGCAGTCTAGCTATAATATTAAAAATTGTCTAATTGAATTATTAATTTGTTTTTAATTATATAAGCAAAATGAAAAGTTATATTTCATGCTTAGGATGAGGCTAATATTTTGTCTCTTTTCAATTTTTCGAAATAATAACTTTTAGATATTTCCTGGCTTCAAAATTACTTAATAATATAGTTTTAAATATAGAATTTAGCAATTAGAACTTGTAAGCCAAAATTTGTACAAATATCTCGTATCATTGGAATTTTAAACTAAGAAATTATTCAAGTGAAGATATTTCTAACAATGTATTATTTGTTTAATTCATCATGAACTTAAAGTTTATGAAGAATATATAACATGTAGACTGTATCAATGGATAATTTAAGGAATTGATTAAAGTTGATTACAACCCTATAAAAGTTTGCTTACAAGCCTGGAATTAATTGTATTATAAATTGCTTTTATTTTCATTCAATTTTTTTTCAGAAGATTAAGAAGATTGTATTACTCTGCCTTTTGTAAATATCGCATACTACTATCTTAATTCAATAAACTGATATTTTTAAAAAAAAAATTTCAACTATTCAGAATAAAAATACAATTTTACATACTAATTTACAATTTTTATGTAAACTACAGAAATTAACACTGTTGATGCGATGATGAAATGACCTTCCGCATTTTTAATTTATTGTAATTAAGAATTCAACGAACAAATTTAATTATTACTAACGATTAAATGAATATATTCCGCTTTTTTGTGCTTTTATAATAACGCCAACAATGGAAACGAAAATTTTTATGTAAAATAAAACAAAATAATGTTATAATTTTTACTATATACTTTTACATTCATACACATTAATACATTATACGTATATTGTTATACTATAAATTATTTACTCTTTAATTCGGACACAGAACCCTCAAATATTTCAGAATAAATTTTATACTACTTGCATTTTTAATAAATAATTTAGTTGGCGGAAATTAACCAAGTAATTGCGCAATTCATCCGGCTACTTATAGGCACATTTTACATAATTATATCATTGTGATGAAATGAATAAAATAATAATTAAAACTCAAGAAAATAAAATTATATTTATAGATTTTAATCATTCTAATTCTGATTTTTAATGTACCTTCTGTTGATAAATATTTTTATATCAATTATGTATATACAGTTCCGATAAAAAAATTTCAAGCCATTGTAATTTTGTTATCTGAAAAGCGAAAAAAAAATTTTTGAATATTTTCTTTAAAAATTTTTAAAGTTTTAAATCATTTTTATTAGACTAGAAAATATAAAGATTATTTTTCATAAATTGCTTAATAAAAATGCAAAAATTTGAATTCGAGCCAAAGTGAAAATTGAGTTACTAGCTTCATAAGGCTAAATGGTTCGGATCGTAATAAAAATTTTGCTGGAGCTTAATATATCAACAAAGTAATCATTCTGTTGATGAATTTTCTTTAAAATCGACTCTCCTGAAATTGAAATACACTTATTCACAGGGCCACATTTCATTTAAAATAGTTTATCCAAATTTTTCTATCACACAGATATGGGTGTATGGATACATTATATCCTCCGCTCTTATTGTAATTAGGTCGACTAAATTTATGGCAATATTATTTAAATTGGGGCTAAATTCCCCAAAATTTTATAGCTGTATAGTTTTTATATAATACATATTAGTTATATACAAGTACGTAAACTAAAATTGATTTTGTTTTCAATTAACCTAGGTTTTAAAATAACAATCTTCTTTTGTTTACATAGTGTATATTTCTTATAAAATTTTCATGTAAATTTAACAATGTAAACTTTAAGAAAGATGGAATAAGTCACCGGTTATCTTGGAAATCTTGAATTAGCGTACAGTTTAAGGTCGGAACGAAGGTAATTTTTTTGATGATATCATTGCAAAATTAAAGGTTACTCTATTACAACAAAAAAAACAATTGTTACAATATAATACACAACGTTATTAAGCTTGTGATGTAAATCAAGAAAATTTAAAATTCTTAATTATTGTCAATATCAAATTAAAAAAATTATTTTTAATTTAGAACTTTGTTGAAATTTTAAAATTTATGATTTTTATCTACTTATTTTATTTTGTGCAAAACATAGAACGTGTGAATTAAAAAAAAATATTTTATATATTTTGTTAATCGTTATTCTTTGGTAATTATGTTAGTTTTTGAAGAATACAAAATAATTAATCAAGCTTGTATAGAATATTGCCTAAATATATAAAAAAAAATTAGTTCTATTGAAGATGAAAACGAAAATAATGGCAGTTCAAATGAAAATAAATACAGAATTATTCGTTTAATCTTTTATTGAACTATGGGTATTTTAGAAAATTCACTTCTAATTTGCAAAGTAGTTTTAAACTATACACTGCTTATTTTATAATTTTATAAATTATTGAAAATTCAGTTCTGCAAGGAAGCGGAGTTCGGAAATTTAATCTAGCATAAACCTAAAATTTTAATTTTTGTGACCAATTTTTTTAAAGAACACAAGTCTGTTAAAGTACTATATAAACTTTGTTTGTGAAATGTGATTATACATTTATAATATTTTTGCATATACATGAAGTCTTGTATAAACAATAGAGTCATTATGCAAAATTTCTTGTTAAATATTCCGTACAAATATCATCGCAGAAAATTAATAAAATTTAAAAATTAACAATAAAAATAAGGGAATAAACTTAAGTATTTAAATCAAAATATAGTTTTTGGTGTTTATTGAAAAAAAAAATCTTTAATATTTTAAAATTCGTTCCAAATTTTTGATTACAATTAAACATTTACATTATTAATTAAATTTTAAATTCATGAGGTCGTGATTAAATTTAAATATATATTTTATAATGTATAATTAGAATATAAAATAAATGATAATAAATATTTTTGTGATGAAAATTCTATATCTAAAAAAATATATTTTGGAAAATTCTTGTACAATAATCTTAATCTAAAATAAAAATTTATTTAATTATTAAACTTAGTGTTCTATAAATCTTAAAAGAAAAAAATTAACTATTATAACAAAATGTGTAAATAATATTTATGTATGCTTTATATTTCATTGTAATGTGTTTTTCTTAAATATTAATGTAATTATGTTCATCATTTTCATTATTACTATTAATGCTATTATTATTTGTATTATTTAAACTATCGCTGTTATTATTATTACTTGAACTACTCGAACAACTATTTTTTCTAATCAAATTTATTTCATCAAATTCTGAAGAACCTTCTTGAACACATTTTTTGGTATTATTATTTTCTTTTTCCTCAGTTAAACTATTGATATTTTGATAAACTTCATTCATTTCTTTTTTAACATCAATAATAACAGAAGTTTTTTCGTTTTCTTGAGTTTCAATAATATTTTGAGGTTGTGGATTTGTTGGTGATTTAAAACTGGTTAATAAATCTTTGGAATTTTGTTTAGTTAATTTACCATAAATAATATTTTTTTCTTGTAGAAATTTTAATTTTATTGGTGTTGGAATAGCAACGTTATGCTGATGAATTTGATGGCGATGATTTTCATTTGGCATTTCTTTGGCTTCGATGATTGTATTAAGTGAACTAGTTTGATTTTCTTGGAATACAGGTATATTTGATGGAAAAATAATATAATGTTCAGCACTATTATTTAGAACACCCATTGGACTCGTCGGTGTATTTAATGAACGAAATCCTGTCGAAAATGTTATACGGTCTTTATCGTCACATGATGTTGAAATTGGTGTTAGCACAGGTCTGGGTGGTGGTGGTATTAAATAGTTTTCTACAAGACTACCAGGTGAACCAATACGACAATTCGATGAGAAAATTTGATGTCGTAAACGGTCATCGTGATCAGAATGTGTTCCACTATCGCCAAGACTTGCACCACTACATGCACTACCAGTACTCATACGTCCCGAAGATGATGATGAAGAAACACTTTGTGTACTTAAACTACTGATTGGCCTTTGGCTTGATGATTGCGATGATCGAACAGACAATTTAGTTTCGTCTAAGTCATCATGTTGATTATGATGACTGATAGCATTTGTTTCAATTTTATGATTAGATTTACTACGTGAAAACAATTTTTTTACACGTTCGAATGGTGTTGGACGTTTCATTTTTTCTTTCATTTTCTCTTGAATCTTTTCATATTCTTCGCGTAATTTTTCAATTTGCTCTTGCTTTTCTATGAAACTTTGTTTAACATCATTTCTGTTTTTCCATTTTTCAACTAATTGTTCGACTTCTTTAATAGAAAGAACATTATTTTTAAAATCATTCATGATTTCAGCTAACTCATCATCAACATTTCCTTTATTATTTGATACATCACTATGACTTCTTTTCAATGTTCCACCACCAGATGACGATGTTGAGGATGATTTCTTTTTTTCAAAAACCATTTTAACATGTGAATCTGTAAAACTGTTACCGTTACTAGTTATATGGTCTGCACTTCTGAAAGCTGTTACTAGTTCATTAACAGGTCTGTTTGATGGTTGAGTCAAATAATCGCCATTTAAATTTATTGGAACATTGGAAGGTTGAAGCAAATATTCTGATTGACTAGATATACTGCAATTTTCTAAAACATTTGAACATTCTTGACTAAATTGATCCGCAGATCCTGAACGACTTTCGTTACCATTACAATTATTTTTATTATTTCTTTCATTTGACTGATAATATGGCGGTTCGTTGATTTTTAATTCGTTAGTAATTTCGTTGCTACTTGAATTGTTACTTAAATTAATTCTATCCAACGCTCCATCTATTTCATCAACTGTTTTGTCATCTGAATTTTCTACTTTAATATAATTTAAATTTGCAACTGCTACCGATTTCATTTCAGTTTTTTCATTTTCACTACCACTGCTCATTTCCATATATTCTAATTGAGTCTTTGTACTATTATTCGGTTTTAAAACTTTTTGATTCGATGAAAATTTCTTGTCGAAATGTTTGGGTAGGGATGAGGTTTTAATATTATAAAAATTATCGAAATTTCTGGTATCGATCACAACTTTTGATTCATTTGAAGAATCCGTGATGCCTTTGAAATAGTGGTACATTGTAGAAAATTCGTGCATTTGCTAAAATACAAAATACAAATTAAAAATCACTTACTAATAAAACGAAATAAGTCACTCTACACTTACAGAAAAACTTTTTAAACTATTTGCTAATTTTTGGAATCCTTCTTGCTCTGCAATATCCGATGGGGTCTTTCCAATATAGTTTCGAACTTCACAAGCGCTGTCACCACCGGGACATTCTAATAGTTGCATGGACAATTGTTCTAATCCGTATTTGGCTGCAAAATGTAATAAAGTAGGAAATTCCTCAGGATGCTTATCTTTCATAGCAAAAAGTTGTTTTTCTGATGGGCCGACTAACAGATGAAAATTTGGCGGCATATTTTTGTGAAAACATTTCAATAAGTGATCATCCAAGCCAGTACGATCAGTTGCACCAATTCCTAGAGAGGTACACATGAATTCAATTGGATTGTCTTGCGTTCTTAACAATAATTCCATTTCACGTAATCTACTTTCGCATTTTACTGGACGACTTCCTAGGTTTTTCCCACTTTTCTCAATCTGAACTTCTATCATTGTAGAAATTTCCATACATATTTCTGTAAAATTGAAATCGCAATAATAAAAGCGATAAAGTTTTAAACGTACATGTTTACAATTTGTTACCTGGAATATTAAATTGAATAGTAAAAGGATTTCGTTGTTTAAAATTTTTTATTTCGATCATTTCTCCTGATTTATCAATTGTTATTCGAATGTAATCATCAACTGATAAAGGTTCATTTAAGAGAGCTAAGATTTTATTTTGTCCAATTCTAACCTTTTTCGGTACAACAGTAAATGCTTCAGAAGGTGTTTTAATTGGCCCGTTTATTTCATGACATGGTGGACGATGACATAAAGCTCTTCCCAAAATATCAGTTGCAACTCCAAGTATATTACCTATAGCTGATTGATCATTTTGATAAATATAACATTTCTTCCATGTTTTATAATAAGGAAGAGCTAAAATTAAATTTTTAATTAGAAAATCAAATATATTGTATCCAAAAATTCTCATATCTAGAAAATATTTACCTGTTTTATGTATTTCTAATAATTTCTTTTCTTCAACTTCAAGCAACACTGCCAAAACTTTATCATGATTTAAAATTGATGAGAATTGTGTTATCAATTGCTGTTGTGGTAATGCTAATACCGCTGGACAAAATATTAAAATTTGTAATGCAGTAGTTTGACATTTCTTTACTAAATCTGTAGAAAAATATCCATCGTCTATTTTAAGATGCAGAAAACTGAAAATTAAATATAAAATATATTAAAAAACAATAATAGTAAATTAAAGAAAAATTATTGAAATTTTTCTTACTTGAATGGTTTTCTTCCTCTCTGTTTTGTAATTTTATCAAAACGAGCTCTTAAAAAGCTAGCCCAAGTGAAAGCACGCTCGCTATTTTTAGCTGTTAAAATTAAAATATCATCCATACTAGCACCTTCAGGACAAAAATCTGTAAAAAAAAAGAATAAAATGTAAGATATTATTAATTATTCACGCATTGTTCGAAAATTATGTAACTAAACAAATATAACTAACATGACACGTATCTACAACTACAAGCCGATTAATATTAACAAAAATTGAGGGGAATATTGTAAAATTCTCTTTTTCTGAATTTCTTACGGCATTTAAATAAACGTCACAGAATCAAAGACCAACAATTTTCAAAATATTAATTGAAAGTTATTACAAGTAGACATTTGTAATTACAACGAGTTAATGAAAACTTAAATAGATGCTGCTAAAGGTGTACTTAATTTAACAGTTCTGGAAAAATCAGAACTATTACAAGTAAAATTAATAAAATTTTAAATTTATTTATTTGTTAATTTAAATTTATTTATAATTTTTAAATTTATTTATTTAAATTTTAAGATTGCAAAATCTTATAATTTAATTTTAGTTTAAATTGCCTAGAGAAACTTCGTTTTATAAGCACGATGTTAATACTGGCAAGTACTCTAAATAAATCCAAATTTTGTAAAATCTGAAATGAAATTGGTTTTGTAAACAAAAAACAAGTCTACCCTCTTCATTTTTGTTACTCGTTCGCAAGATCAGATTTTTTTTAAATACTTTGCTAATAAATTTGCATTTTAAATAGTGACTTTTAAAAATTAAGTAATACACTGAGCAAATTTTTGAATATCACTACTTTAATAATTAAATATTATTTTTAATAATTAAATTTATTATTAAATTTTCTATATGAGTTTTTTTATACTCGTATATAATGAAAATTATTTACCCATATTTAATGTGATTTTTAACAAAATTTAATATTGAAAATTTCTTTACAATTGATTTTAAGCACTTTGCATAGGCACTTGTTTCTTTATACTCTTTAAATTTCAATATGTTTTGATGAGATAATTTAGTGAAAAATGAAACTAAGCATTTTCTTTGGTTATTCTATTTTTTTTTTTTCATTTTAATAAAATTTAATTTTAATTTTTATCCTAAAACTGTACGATACAATTAAAAACTACTTTAGATATATGAACGTGTATAAATTGAGATCAGGCTTAGAATATTAATTTTATTTTATTTTTTATTTTTGTGACTAATTCATTTAAAAACTGTGGCGTAAATGAAATTTTTGTGTCTACGACAATCATTACATTTCTGTTTTGTTTATTTTTTGTTTTTGATTCTTGAATTTTTAGTCTACAATTTGTATACCAGCATAACAAGAGTGGCGGCAGCATATTCGCATATTTTATCTTTTTATGTTGAATTTTTTTTTTCTGTGATCTGGGCTTCTTTTTTTTTAACTGTTCTGTTTTTACTCGTATACACATATGATGTATGCATGTACTCATATTCACTCCTCTAATTCTGGTTTTATTGTCATCATGATTATAAAAAGAAGATTAAGAAATAAATAAAACATAATTTACATTTTTTTTTGTTGTATTACGAAAATTGGATCATTCTATAATCGTTTGAGAAACATACAAAATCAGCGCTTTCAACCATTAAGTATATGCCCATTAAGAGGACTCGAAAATTCATTCAGGATTCGGAGTTTTTGTTACGGGAAAAGGAAATATATTTAATTGAAATGCTTTACAAATGGGCGGGGGGCAGGTGGAGGGAGGAGGGAAAGGTTAAAAGCACCAAATTTGATAATCAATTAAAAAAAATCGAAATCAAAAGACAGCATAATTTCACATTTAGCGATCTATGTGTGAGCTTTCTAAAAACTTTATCAAAGAGAAAATTAAAATGTCTTTAATGTTAAAAAGAAAATTAAAATTCCTGTGTGTTAAACCTCTCTAATCCATTTTTGACAATACACCCTTGTTGCCACAAGGTAATTAAATAATTATAGGTTTTCAATTGCTTTCTGAACGTGTTTGATGGGAAAAAATGCATTTATATTTTTTTAATTTTTATTCACTTGACAAATGCAATAAAATGAATTATACAATTTCATAAGAATAAATTCAAAGAATGCATCTTGTCAAAAAGCAAATTATTTAACATACTCGTAATGATTTCACAGTTAAAAAAATCTCTAAAAACAACTCCTTTTTGCGTTCCGGTACAAATAGGTTTGAAATTACTGTTAAAAATTTTTGACAAGTTTTAAAATGATACAATTTTTATGTTGATTAGTGCGGTAGCGTTAGCACATTTTCATTTAATAAACACCAGCTTCGCGTATAATAAAATAATAAAAAACAGACAAATATAAAATAAAAGAAAATTATACGCAAATATTAATTCAAGATTATTTTATCACATACAAAATAGCGCTTTTCTCTTTGTTTTCTAAATATTTTTTTTTATTTTTTTATAATTTCAGCTGTTGGATCTTGTTTCAAGAAGCTAATGAAAATTATACTTAAAAAAAAATTAAAATTTTTCAGTATTGTGATAATAAAAAAAAAAATTTATTTATAACGATTCAAATGACGCCTTAAAAATGAACGATCAATTGTAATTTTAAGCATGTAAAAAGCGTATATAAAAAGTGAATATAAAAATTAATCATACTATAAAACCCATAAAAACACAAAATATGCACTAAATGTAAATTTTTAAGTGTAAAATTGCAATTTCAATTTGAAATCATAGAACTTGTAGAATATGAGAAAATATTGTGAATGAAAGTAAATGAACTCAAATTGTTAAAAGAAATATCAATTTCTTCTGTATATCCTTCTGTCTATAGGATACTTAAAAAAAAGTTTACGTGAATAAGTTGATGAAATTAACTATAGATAGGGATATCTATAGTTAAATCACCGTCGTTCCTAAGGTGGAGATTTAAATTTTGTATGGGAGTTTAGATATATGTAGTAGTTTTTATGTTTTGTATATGAAATTACAATGAAATTAAACCGTTAAGTAAATTTTTAATATTATACACAAGCTTTTGTTAAAGTCTCGGAACATAATACGAATGTAAAGTTCGCATATATAAGTTCCAGAACAAACTGAGTACACTATAGAGTAATAATAAATTTGTCAAAATTTGACAGATATTTTATTGTAAACGCAAAATTATTTTTGTAATACGAGTATGTTAACAAAATGAAAGTTTATTTCAACCAATTAAGAGAGGTTTTTGTTTTTTATTAATCTTTTTAAGACAATTATCACAACTTTTTGACCGCATTTAACACAGTTTTTGTTTTTGACTTTGTTTACAAGAATTTACAATAATTTTTTTTAATTTGTGCAAATAAATGCTTTTCCGCAAATATTTTTTTTTTTTGCTCGAACTTTCCACGTTTATGCAGTTTTGTTTTGTATGTAGTTATGAAATTTTATTAAAGTATACAGATATTTTAATTGTGAGTAATTGTAAACTCAATTCGTACTTGTTACATCAGATTTAACAGTGCATTTTTTTGTAAGAATTGAAAGAATTGAATATCTTTTTAATTTTTGGTTTTTACACACATACATCATATTTGCTTTTGTAAAAATTTATTTATTTTATATGTATGTATGTATATGCAAATGTTTTCATAATTCTTTTAAAGTAGTGCCAAATTCCTAATATCACAATATTTTACACAAATGCTTTAAAGAGAAAAAAAACTATTTTGATATCAAATAAAGTTGAATGAAACCAATGGAAGAAGCACTTTTCCATATAACGAGAGAAAATACAACTTTTAAATAAAATACCAATATCATTAATATATCAATTAATATACCAAATATTTCGATATTTATTGCATACATTTAGGATGAAATTTTATGATTCCATGGCATTTAACGTTACCTTTTCGATTTCATAGAAACTTACAAAGCTTCCAGAATATATGGCACCGAAAATTCAGATTTTACTTTTTAATTATTAATTAAAAAGTGTTTGTGGTTTCGTTACAGTAAATTGTCGAAAAATAGTATGTTTAGGATTTTGAGGGGTAATAACTTTTACAGATAGTGAGATAAGTAAAAATTTTCTTCTATAGAAATAACTTCTTACTAAAAATCTATTAGTCTATAAAATTTCATCTTTCAATTTCGAAGTGTGTACAAATTTTATAACAAACACACGCCTGACAGACGTAGGGCCCGTACGTCTATAAAATTTCATCTTTCTATTTCGAAGTGTGTATAAATTTCATTTTATTTCTACTTTTTTTATAACAAACACACGCCTGACACGCCCGTACGTCTGTCAGGCTCGTACGTCTGTCAGGCGTATTTGTTATAGAATTTGTCACAGAGTCAAACTAATAATGAAAACACGTAATGGCTTTGTGAAGTATAATTATACATTGAGACGTGTAACGGACTATAAACCAATCAATAACCTTACAATTGAAATTGTGCGATAGGATTAGTGTGCGCCTTAAAGTGAAAAATTGACAGATCTTGGAATTATATATGTAAGTTCCTATTAAAGGAAGCCTATAATTGTCAAAATTAAAATAAGGAATTTGTTTAATTTCCTTTTTTTTGACAAAATGTCAGAATGTCTTGAAAGTAAAAATGTTATGAAAACATTTTAATTATTTTTATGCCTTAAACAAAGAAATTTACCAATAATTTCTTTTATTTTTTTTTTATTTTTCAATTGAATTCATTATTTTTTTTTTAATTTTAATGTTTTCTCAATAAATCTAAATGTAAATTAAAAAATAAATTTTTTTTCTAAAATAGGAATAAAAATTTGTAATAAAAATATAGAAATATACAATAAATTCTGACATGCGAGTGTTTTAATAAGAATAAAGTAAAATAACAAGCCAATTTTAAAATTAATTTTTTAAACAAAAAATGAATGATGCACGCATAAAAAATGGCAATAATTTTGTTCCTTTTTTTGTTTTTGCAAATGCAATTCCTACATTTTATTGTTTACACTTTTAGATTTTTTACATCTTTCTAAACAATAAATTAATAGAATCTAAGCTTTAAAAATTAATTTTTATTACACGTTGTTTTTAAAATTTCATATTTCCTCCCTTAAATATAAATTTT